GACCCCCACAGCGTTGTAAGCCTTCACCCTGGCGTTGTAGGAGCTGTTGAAGTGGAGGCCGTCCACCGTGCACACCGTCTCCTTCCCCACGTACACCTCCTGAGGACACACACATTATTATGTATTTATTTCATCATCTCATCTCATCTCATCTCATCTCATCACATCTCATCTCATCTCATCTCATCTCATCTCATCACATCTAATCACATCTCATCTCATCACATCTCATCTCATCTCATCTCATCACATCTCATCTCATCTCATCTCATCTCATCTCATCACATCTCATCACATCTCATCTCATCACATCTCATCTCATCTCATCTCATCACATCTCATCTCATCTCATCTCATCTCATCACATCTCATCTCATCACATCTCATCTCATCTCATCTCATCACATCTCATCTCATCTCATCTCATCTCATCTCATCACATCTCATCACATCTCATCTCATCACATCTCATCTCATCTCATCTCATCACATCTCATCTCATCACATCTCATCACATCTCATCACATCACATCTCATCTCATCACATCTCATCACATCTCATCTCATCTCATCACATCTCATCTCATCTCATCTCATCTCATCACATCTCATCACATCTCATCTCATCACATCTCATCTCATCTCATCACATCTCATCTCATCTCATCACATCTCATCTCATCACATCTCATCTCATCTCATCACATCTCATCACATCACATCTCCTCTCATCTCATCACATCTCATCTCATCTCATCTCATCACATCTCATCTCATCTCATCTCATCTCATCACATCTCATCTCATCTCATCACATCTCATCTCATCACATCTCATCTCATCTCATCACATATCATCACATCTCATCACATCTCATCACATCTCATCTCATCACATCTCAATCTCATCTCATCTCATCACAATCAAACATCACATCTCATCTCATCACATCTCATCTCATCTCATCACATCACATCACATCACATCTCATCTCATCAAGCAACAATCTCATCTCATCTCATCACATCACATCTCATCTCATCTCATCTCATCTCATCTCATCTCATCTCATCACATCTCATCTCATCACATCTCATCTCATCTCATCTAATCTCATCTAATCTCATCTCATCTCATCTAATCTCATCTCATCTCATCTCATCTAATCTCATCTCATCTCATCTCGTCTCATCTCATCTCATCTCTCTCAATCCATCTCATCTCATCTCATCACATCTCATCTCATCTCATCTCATCACATCTCATCTCATCTCATCACATCTCATCTCATCTCATCTCATCTCATCTCATCTCTGTAGCATCACTACAAACGCAGGTTAAGTGCAGCACATGAACAGTGTGTTGCTGCTTAAACACATAAGATGAATCATACATGAAACATTCTGGGAACATTTGCATATTACGAATGTACATTGATATTCTGACGCACTCCTTGGAAGGAATATTTAGTGTGTGGTTGATAATTAGAGATATTTTAACGACACATTAATCACAAGCAAAACATGTTTTGAAAATGATTTACCAACTTAGAGTGAGATAACGTGTTTGTCATAGAAAATGGAAGAAATTGATGATTTATGCAAAGTGGTACGTGACTTTCAAAATACTATAATGTATGTGTGTACGATCTCTGATAATGGCCATGGTTGCAGATTTTTTTTCTTTCTTTGTTCTACAAGAAGTCACAAGTTAGCATGTGCAATACTTTGTGTTGAAAGTACTAACAACAAGTAAATACAAATGATATAAGAGGAAACCTTTGTAAGGACTTTAAAACTTAAAATGGATATTCACTGAGACACAGACATGCACAGACATGCACAAAAACACACACACACACACACACACACACTACCATCTGGCTTTACTCAGAGCATATGGGTAATTAATAATAAAAGACAAAAACAAAGTCTGGCTACAGAAGGGACTTCATCTTTTGCTGCGTTTTGGATGAAATTACTGTCATATTAGTGTCAACCCTTGTTCTCTGTTTTGCACACATTACATATTATAAATGTGTGTTGCTGCGCTGCACCCACCCTGTACTGTCCTCCGTTGCCGTCGTCCAGCTCCAGGATGTATCCCTCGATGGGGCTGGGTGCGATCACCCTCCAGGCCAGGGTGGCGCTGTTGTCTCGGGTGCAGCACTTCTCCAGCTGCAGGAGGGGGGCCACCGGCACCGAGGGGCCGCACTCCACTGGGGGGGGGGGGGGGGGGGGCGCAGAAGATTGGTAAGATTTTAGGATCTCAATTGTTTATTTTATATTACAATTCGAGAAGGAGAATTATTCTGCCATTTTTCAATGAGCGAAAGAATATTGGAAGGATCGTGTTTAATACACATTTCATCTTATTTACATACTTTGTTGCATGATATTAAGGTGAGAGATGAGAGGGTGGATGGATGAAGGGAAGAAGGAGACAACAAGGGGATATCGTCAGCTGGCTAAATGAACTCAAGGGAGAGAAAGGGGAGCTTTAATGTGGATTGGCCACACTCCACTGAGGGGGGAGGAGAAGTTTATTCCACACATGGCAGTTATTTTAAAACACATATACACTTTACAAAACATGTACACTTATACTGGTGTTATAATGTTTTGTAGCGCATGGTGGAAAGGAGCAGGGAGAAGAACATCTTATTTTACCTGCCCCCCCCCCAAAAAAAGTAAAATAAAAGCAATATTCTTTCACTCACAGTTGCTTAAAAACACTGAAACATAAAACCCAATCAAAAGTCAAATTCATACCGTCTAATTACGCTTTTTTAATACATTTTCTTAAACATAAAAAAGACGGATGAGATGTTAGGATCGTAAGGGGGGGAGGTGAGAGATGAGAGGGTGGATGGATGAAGGGAAGAAGAAGACAACAGGGGGATATCGTCATCTGGCTCAAAATAACTCAAGGGAGAGAAAGGGGGGCTTTAATGTGGATTTAATGTGAGATAAATGAACAAAAAAGCGCCTTAAAGTGAAAGAGCTCCGGGTTCATTTGCAGGGCAACAGCTGGGAATCAATAGAGGCGTTAACGAGGCCATGTGGTTATAATAAACACTTAGTAGCGGTGCATAGGGTTGGCATTAAGCTAAGCAATATAAATATTTCCTTCCTTTTGAACACTTTTTGTCTCATTTGCAGCCCAAAAATGCTCCGCTCATTAAAAGAAACATCTTAAATTACGTGTCGACTGTCTTGGGACAAAAACTAGTTAAAAAACGATTAGTTAAAAAGCCAAGAAAGAAAAGCATCAGCACTGTATCAAATACATTTCCTAATAAAACCGACATATCTGTCCAATCCGGAGTGAAAGAAACACACAGACAACAAAAACAGGGTCAAAATAACCAGAGAACACACACAGGGTGATGAGGTCGGCTCGTTCATGTTTTCTTTATCTGTTATCGGATCTTTCCAGACCAACGTCAGCATCAGTGGAGACACAGAGGAGAGGCAGCAGTCAGGAGGGGGGGCAGGATCGGTGCCACACGCTGGGAGCGTTTAGACTCTCAGTTAATATTTAATTGAAGACGTTTCACAGCATCTGTAGCCCAAGTAGTTCTTCGATTCATCCACAACTTATTTTTTGTTAAAGAAGGTATAAAATATGTTCTGAATTCAAACAAATGTATGATACAAGTAAATATGTTTTGTATCATTTGTATTGATTACTGGGCTTTGAGTCATTGGAAACTACAAGATAACTATTATGTTTAGGTTAAAGAATTGAATATTGAATTTATCTTGTGATATCTGTTTTTTATAGTAATTATTTTTGGCAGTAGCATTTCTATTGCTATGCTTTACTGTAAATCAAAATGTGTTCACATATCACCATCTTAATTATGTATTTTATATAACAATAAAATAAGCTGAATTATTCTGCAATTTTTCACTTGGCAAAAGAATATTGGAAGGATCATGTTTAATACACATTTCCTCTGATTATAATTACATACTTTTGTGCATGACTTTAATGCAACCTGACCCTCAACAGACATTGAATGAAAAAGCAGTGAAAGAATGACACATTATTATTTTACGTTATCTTTTTGTCACTGCTTTTAATTGAACTATTCATATCTTAGACTGCACTGTAACTTTTATCCATGTATTTTTTCTTTTAATGTTTATTTTATTAGCTTTTCTTTTTAATGACTGATTTTAAATGCCATTTTCTTAATGTCTTTCATTTTTTGTAAAGCACTTTGAATTGCCTTGTGTTGAAAAGTGCTATATAAATAAACTTGCCTTGCCTTAAAAGAAAGTCAAAGAACTTGTGACGGAATAGCAGTTTTTGAATCAGAGAAGTATTTGGGGCTACATATTTTTTTTGGGGGGAAACTTTGTGTTCCAGTGCTCCAGTGAAGGCAGCACTTCATTGGAGAGGATCTGGAAAACAAAAAGCATGCAGAGGAGAGAGCGGAGAGACGCCGCGGGACTGAGAGAGCGGGAGTTTCCAACCGGAGCTGAGGGACGAGGAAGGAGTGACAAAATAAACTGACGGGAGGATAAAGACAGAGTGAGTCTCTGAAATACCTCCGGGGCTTTCTGTCTCCATCTCAGCCTCACTGTCTGCTGCCTGCATTTGTTTAAATAACGGACTCTCCTGCACATCTGGAAATATGATGTGGGTTTACATGTTAGCATAAAGCAGCTGACAGTACGAGTAAAGATGATAATGAACACATCTAAAATATAAAATATCATCAACGCGTTAGATTAAGGTGATAATAAAGTATGACTCTTAAAAAAGCAGTAACAAACGGGTTAGTACAAGTTTAAGAATGACACAACAGGTGGGTGTAAATGTGTTTGTAATGCTATTAGAAAATATATAAATCACTAGGTAGGCCTATAGGTATAAACTCAATAAATGTGTTTGCTTTTATAAACACCTCTAACTCATAAGGTGTTCATCAAATGATGTTACTGTCTATAGACTGTTAAAAATGGTCTTATAAATGTATTATTAATATATATACTAAAGACATGTTTATAACACTGTTGTAAAAGTTGTATATAGTCTTAATAAGCATTATGTAACACATAAAAGCCTTATTACCTATTAACCAACATTTATTACAAGAACATTACTAATAAAGTGTTACTAAAATCTATTATGTAAAGTTGAAAAATGATGTCCGCATTGTCCAAAGTTGCATATTTGGACACAAGACATGTTTTTCCCAAATCTCTGATATTCATTTAGAAAGCGCTGCAACTACACAGCGACGTCCAAATACAAACATGAACATTTAGTCGGTCATTTTCTAATCATTTCCAGGCCAATTCCTGGAAAAAGATTGTGTAACCTGTTATCAATCACATGGGGGGAAAGAGACACATGTCTGAAGTGTAGTTAGAGGATTTCATAAGCAGTTGTTCATTTACATAATGACACGAAGACCTACTTGAAAACATGATTCAGATCTCTCAATCAATTCAGAATGATATGAAGGAGAATCATTGTAAGCTACTTGTGAACCAGAACACCTCCTACACTGCTGCTCAGGATGTCAAGGAGTTCAATTAAAAGACAAGAAATGAAACGCTCTGTCTTTAAACTCCTTCGCTTCGTTCTGGATCATCAGTGGGATGTGAAGACGGGAAAACGTGGGTTTCATGTAGCCGGTCTTAAAGAACAAAACCACGGACGACCAAAGACTTTCTACGACTCACAAGGGGATTTGCTGGAGTTCAAAGAATAACGAGCATTATTTAGCATGTTACCAAGGTTGAATCTACATCTTGGAAAGGGGAAACACCTGCCTCAGTGGAGTCGCATAGAAAATTAAATATTCATAGTGCTGAGGAGTACATATTTAATGGACGTTAACAATCCATCTGGGTAATCTCTGAGACTGGGGCAGAGTTAAAGTAAAGGACTCTGTGGTTACTCATGCATTTATACTGGTTGCTGGGTAGCAACAGCCAATGAATATCTAATCAGGTGTGTGTGTGTGTGTGTGTGTGTGTGTGTGTGTGTGTGTGTGTGTGTGTGTGTGTGTGTGTGTGTGTGTGTGTGTGTGTGTGTGTGTGTGTGTGTGTGTGTGTGTGTGGCCTAGCATTACCATCCTTGTGGGGACCTAAATCTGTTTACACAGTCATGTGTGGGGACTCGCCTTCCTTATGGGGACATAATGGAGATCCCCATGAGGGGAATCATACATTTTAGGGTGAAGACTTGGTTAGGGTTACAATTAGCGTAAGGGTAAGGTTAAGGGTAAGGTTAAGGGTAAGGGTTAGGGTTAGGCATGTGTTGGTTATGGTTAAGGTTAGGATAAGTCTCCAGGAAATGCATGTAAGTCAATGTAATGTCCCCTGAAGTGATGTATACATGGTATGTGTGTGTGTGTGTGTGTGTGTGTGTGTGTGTGTGTGTGTGTGTGTGTGTGTGTGTGTGTGTGTGTGTGTGTGTGTGTGTGTGTGTGTGTGTGTGTGTGTGTGTGTGTTGCGCTGCTGGAAGGAACCTCAGAAGTGAAGAGCGACTAAATGTCAACTGGTCATACATTACATCAATAAGCGGTGTTTGTTATGGGGGTATTTTAATTATTTAGGTTAATGTTTGTGTATGTTTGCATGTCAAGTTGATTTATTTATAGAGCCTGTTTAAAGTCCTACACCTTTACGCATGAGGTGTATCTTTAAAAAGTGTCCCAAATTGGGATTAATGAAGTACATCTTATCTTATCTTTAGGGAGGGTCCACTATAACAAAATTGGAAGACCAAAAAAACTCCAGTTGTTCAAAGGTCATTATTAAGTATGTTTAACCCCCCCTCCCTTCTTCCCTCATAATGACATCATTAAATGAGATGACATTGAGACGGTTCGTTAACGAGTGAAACCAGATAAAACCAAACAGTATGTTGCTCTTTTAAAATGCAATGAACTGAATGTATTGTGTTTATTTGTTTTATTTTACTGAAATATAACAGCCAACAAACGGTTTGTTGAGACATGCATGTAAGGGGAAGTTTGTGGGAGACATTGTCACTTTCATTTGATGTTAAAACGACATAACGACTCCATTTAATTGCATTATGGGTAACGTAGAAGTCAGTGTTGTTGGAGCTTGACCCATACCATGGACTATAAATCGGGATTCATTCCAGCTTTTTTTAATCGCTTTCTTTCCTAATATGTCTCAAGTGAAACCCCTTTCTTTATAAGCACACTACTAAAACAATTAGAGTACGACAAATTGTTAACACAGAGAAGATATACATACAGAAAGTCGATTTAAAAGAGAAGGATTAATGGCATATTGCACAGAAAAACGATCGTCGAGTCTAAGCGATCGTGTAATCGTGGCTCAAATGTAACACAGTATTTAAAACCACCATTTGGGTGTGCGTGAGTGTGTGTGAGTGTGTGTTCACCTTTGCCCTGGCAGTAGTCCAGCTGCAGGATGGTCTGCAGCAGCACGTCGGTGTTGAGGGTGAGGTCAAACTCAGAGCCTACTTTTGGCTCCAGGGCCCCTTTCACCCACTGGTCCTGAGACGATGTGACCCGCTTAATCAAAGGGTCTGAAATCTGCACACACACACACACACACACACACACACACACACACACACACACACACACACACACACACACACACACACACACACACACACACACACACACATTAAACAAAACAAGTTAAGATTTTGGACATCTGTGACAAGATATATTTCCCAAATAACCTCGTCTCCAATACCTTTAAGTCCTAAACTTTGTATTATAAAGGACCCTATTATACTGTTTCTCATCAATATATAATAGGCCTCATACTGTATATATATATATATATAAAACATGTCTCTGAAGTGTTTGGCTCCAAACACCAAACAGATCATTGCAGCATCCCATAATCCCCTCTGTTTCAGCCCTGTTTCCAAAGTGCTGATTCTCTGTCTGTTACTTTAGATCAGGGGTGGGGAACCTCCGGCCCCCGGGCCGTATACGGCCCGCGAGACAATTTGATACGGCCTCGAGGTCATTTATAAACACACGCAAAAAAGAAAAAAATTAAGAAATCTAGACCGCAAAAGAATTAAATAAGCGAGTGCCTGTTTTTCCTGGCCAAGGTTAGGGTCCTTGAACACAACACAAGCCTAACGTGTCATCACGTGGTATATGTCCCATCTGACAGGGGTGCAGTTCTGACGGAGAGCACCAGAACGCCGCTCCTGGCCGGGACCTCACACATGCAGTACCCATAAGGAGCCGTACACTTGCCGCAGTTTTTGCGTGGCTGTGTCTTTAGCTGAAAGCCCAGTGGCGATCTGTTCATCTGTCATACTGATCATACAGTCAATAACTTTGTTGTTATTAGCATCTGGTTAGCTAGCTATGCTAACGAATATAAGAAGCTTTTTCTACAACCAGTGAGGTAAAGGCACATCTTTATATGATCATTATAAAAAAATAAGAGAATAAAGTAAACAGGTATAAAATACTATATGACAGTAAAAAAAAGTTGTTATTAATAAACAAGAATACAGTTTGAAAGGAGAGTGATTTGTAAAATATCCAGAAAGACAAAGAAATCTGCTTGCAGTTCTGTTTCATATGGATGTTAAGAGATGTATCCATAGATCTCCTAATGTTGCTCTCAAAGTGCACCAGATTGATGCTTTTAACTTCAACATTTAAAAAATAAAAAATAATCTTCCCGGGGGAGCATGCCCCCCGGCCCCCCCTAGAGGAGGTTAGGTCCCCCCCCCCCACACTTAAATCATGTCCACATGGATAGGAAACTAAATACATTTGCACACATCTTGTGTCCATATCTTTCTGTTTTGGTGGTCACGCCACACCGTGCACGTGCATGCATGCGCGAGTCATGGTGAGATATCTGGATTAAGAGGTTGCTTTTTCTTTGCACAGAATGAAATGAATGGGCTGTGATTTTAGTTTTTTTAAGCAGAGGTCAATAATTTGTACGGCCCTCTGAGGATATTGTAAAAATTGAAATGGCCCTTGAGAGGAAAAAGGTTCCCCACCCCTGCCTTACACAGAGGGGGCACATGTTGAGCATTTATCCAGAAGACTGTTCGCTATCGGTTGGGGAAAGAAAAATGGTTAACTTATGCCTTCTACAAGCCAGACGCTCAATTGCTTTGTGTTGAAAACATTTTTGGCTGCCCCTCCCTGGGCCACTGGTTAAACAATTTAACTTCCAGCCTGGCTCTTGAGAAACTCACTACTAAGAAAGAAAGCTTCTGAATGTTACACCATTTGGGACATTGCAGAAGCTATGGAAGGTTAAAGTGAAAAGACTAAACTCCAGTGAGGAAATGTTGAATATGGTTCATCTATCTGGAGAATTGTAAGCTGTACTCTGCTCCGTTTGTGGATGTGCTTTTATTGTATTTTTGTTGAATTTGTTCATTTGCAAATGTAAATATTCTTTGTCTGTATGTGAAGCTGACAATTGAGCGGTCCGACCAAGCAAGGAGGCAGGACGTCCAAAAATACAACCCGGTGTGGGCATTTATTAAAACATGAACACATTACACACAGCCTCAATCCTGCTGCTGCTGTTCACGTGAGCCCAGCCTGCAGAGCATTAGCCTGGTGTCATTACATTGTGTCTGACAAGAGGAATGAGGCCGGCATTAGTGCAGTTCAAATATTTAAGGCAAAGAATTAGAGCCCTCTTCTGCTGGTAAGAGCTTTAAGTGCCTCAGGGGAAAGATAAGTGAATACATTGCATTAAACTACACTCAACTGCAAAAACTGTGATGCGATCTTCTGGAAACATGAACCCAGTATTTGGACATTTCTCCTCAAGCGTTATAAATTGCTTAATTTAGCTTCATTTTCTGACTTTGGCTCAGTTCAAACTACATAACTGTTCCTGAATTGACTAACATTGATATCCACCATCGACAATTTAGACGTCGGCAACCGTAATGAACCGTGTAATCAATACATTATAAAATATTCAGAGGAAATGGGAGCGAAGGGATGTGTGTGTGTGTGTGTGTGTGTGTGTGTGTGTCCCTCAGGAGCGTCTTTGATCTTTTTTTCATCTCTCATTTTCACCTTACTCTATTTTTCTCTTTCTGTCTCTCTTTAATAAGAGAAATGATTCACAACCAGAAGCAGAGACACTATCATTTCATCTCGTATCATTCAATGGAAATCACAACAGCCATGAATATTGATAATGAGTTACGCTAAGTTTAAAAAATGCATTTATTCTTCATGTATTTCTATATTTTTATTAGTTTGTAACCCTTGGTGTGGCCATTTAGGTTTAAGGTCCTTACACACCGAGCCGATTTTCGGCGTCGATAGATGTCGGGCCGTCGATGAGCGTCGTGTCGCCCTCCTCAGATTGGTGTGTCTTGGTGTGTCCCGCACCGTCGTGTCTTTTCGGCCGTGCCGACACCTTCCGCCGAATCGGGAGGCCGTCGGCCAAATAAATCACTCTGATTGGCTGTTCAACTAGCGAATCAGTGCATGAGAAGCGAAACGGAAGTGAGGGACCCAAACAAACTATTAAGAAGGCAAACCTGAGATTTAATTTATCTCCAGCTCTCGACTCAGGTTCGGGAAAGCTCCGTGAGCTTCTCGCTGTAGAGGGGAAAGGAACGCACACGCTATTTGTTGTTTGTTTATATCACGCAGTCTGTTCTTCTTCTCTCGGTTATCACGCAGTCTGTCTTCCGGTTGTTGCCTCTTTTGAATGACGAATACACACTACCGCCGCCTGCTGGTAAGGAGAGTTATTGCCACTCACGCATGCGCAGTTCGTACGTTCAACTTGGCCGTCGGCTGAAGTCTTTGCGGTGTGTTCCAGTGCGACACATGGCCAAGACGCAGAGACGTGAAGAGACGTTCCGTCGGGACGTGTTCTTTGGTGTCAGTTTGGTGTGTAAGGACCAACAGCTAACCACAGCTGCATGTGTAAAAAGAATGGTTGTTGTAAAAATAATGATATAGAAAAGTATTGAAGTGATAACCCGTCGTGATACCACAAACAGATCTGGAACTTTTGATGAAGGTGTAAATAGACACGTTGAATTAGGAACTGTTTCATAATCTTAAAAATATATGAGCTATCCTTTATATATATATAAAGGGAATCTCATTGAGACACATCCCTTGAATTGAAGCATGTTTTCAAGAATGTTCACGCTGATTAGACAATGTTTTTGGAAGTTTTAAAGTCACAGGAACCAAACAGCATTAACCCTTTACTCTCACATCTTTCTTCTAAGCAGGTGCTCTTGTCACATTTGACCTTTCTCTTGTTGACCTAACACACAGATCAATAACTGCTGACCAGCCATCGAGTATCTGAGCCTGCTAATAAGTAAACATGTCGGATCAATTAAAGACCGATGAGCGGCAGGAAATTAGCAAAGCAAATCAGATGCATCCTGTGTGTGTGTGTGTGTGTGTGTGTGTGTGTGTGTGTGTGTGTGTGTGTGTGTGTGTGTGTGTGTGTGTGTGTGTGTGTGTGTGTGTGTGTGTGTGTGTGTGTGTGTGTGTGTGTGTGTGTGTGTGTTACATCTCAGTCCTCAGTGTTTTAGCTGTGCTGGCTTCAACATCAGAAGCTGATTTCTGCTCTTAAGCTCAGAGGAACTGCGTTTCATAATTCTCTCTTCCTTTCAACTCTTCCCATTTCAGTTGGAAAACTAAATTGGTTTTAATGTAGTGTAAGGACCCCGTGCTGTGTAAGGACCCCGTGCTGTGTTCACCGTGTGTGTGTTTGTGTGTGTGTGTGTGTGTGTGTGTGTGTGTGTGTGTGTGTGTGTGTGTGTGTGTGTGTGTGTGTGTGTGTGTGTGTGTGTGTTCGCTGAAAGTTATGTTGTAACTTTGGAGGTTTTTAAAGAGGCTGGTATTTGTTTATCTTTTTTTATGATGATCAGCAACATTCTTTTATGTCATTTTTATATTTATCTTTAGCAACTTCAGGAGGTTAGAAACTTCCAACTTCATCTTTACATATCCTTTATTTTCTTACAGAAACTGAATTATGACATGCTCCCTTTTGACCTGAGAGTCCTTTGTTAGGAAACAACTTAATCCATTGGACTAGCTGATGAATGCATTTACATGGGTATGTTTTTCACTAGAAAATAAAGTGTTGTACTTTATCAAAACCGGAGCGGGCAGCTTGAAATACCTACAAGCAAAATGGACTCTCGTAAAGAAAGTACTGTAACATTTTAATTCAACTGGATTTGATACATTTGGTTTTCCATTGTTGTTTGAGGACCTGCACTTTGATGCTTACAGCCCAACCACATGCATATGTCGTACACACACGCACACACACACACACACACACACACACACACACACACACACACACACACACACACACACACACACACACACACACACAGAGTGGGTCAGATACCTGGAGGAATCCACTGGGGTCGTTCTCTTTGAGGACCTCCAGGCAGAACTCCATCATGCCGGTGGTCTGACGCAGCTTCATGGTGCAGTGGGTGATCTGGTCACGCACCACCTGAGGAATCAAGCAGATTAGAGAAATTAGATGTTATAAGGTAGGTATAAAGAGCAGATCTCATATTAAGTTGTCAAAGCCTTTAAGCTCATTAAAGACATTAATTAGACCCTGGACCCCTAATGTGCAATTTTAGTTAAAGGGTCTTAAGTGCTTTTTGGGGTTTCCCTTTTCATAGTGTGTCTTTCCCACACCACTATGTAATACTAGCACTTATATTGGATAGTAAGTACAGATCGCGTTCACACCGGAAATTAGTTCCTAGGGGTGGATTAGACAAATGAAGCCGCTGACGTCACTTCTTCTTCTTCTGCTTTGGGTTTACTGGCAGGCCGCAAACAACTTCACGGCGTATACTGCCGCCCAAAATCCCCGGCCGGAAGTCCCCGGAGTTAGGGACTGGCTTCAGTCGAAGCTGCTGGGAGTCCCAGCAGCTTCTACTGAAGCCTTCCGAGTAAACTGACAGAACGCCGACACCTCCTCATCTCCACCGCTCCCATGTTTTATTTTGTGTTGTCATAAGTTAGTCTCTCTGCGTTTCTGCGCGGGGCTAATGCTAATAATGCTAATGCGAGGATAATAAAATGGCGGCTTCACAAACGTTTCTGGGAGTTTGACGGGGCGTGGTTTGCAATCCGCCCAGCCAATCAGACACAGGAACCTTTTTCTCCCACGAAAGTCCCTGCTCTCTCAATGTTGAAAAGGGGGTGAAAAGGTTCTCTAGAACTAATTTAGTTCCTGGGACTTTTTGGTGTGAAAGCAACTAAATCGTAGTTCTCAGGAACCTTTGTGGGAAAAGTACTTGGTGTCAACGCGCCTATTGTACGTGATAGGCTAAGGGGCGGGTCATCTGTAAGTGGTCGACAAATCACAACAGAGCCACCCAGCTTACCAATCAGAGCAGACTGGGCTCTGGTTTCGGACAGAGGGTGAAAAGGAAAGCCAATACAAATAATTAAGTCCAAAGGGGATTGAGCGACAAGCCTTATTGTCATAGTGCAGGCTGGAGACTCAAACCCTGAAGCTAGGATTTCTCATAAGATGATCCAACTGGCCGTAACGTATACTAGGAGGCCAAAAAGAAAACCTGTGAAAAAAGGAATCACACAAAGAACGATGGAGAACGCAGCGAGAACACTCAATGTGCTACTATGTGACAGGCATTTCAAAGCTAAAAAGCCCAGGCTGGCAGCATGTTGTTTATGCACTCGGAGATAATTAGGGAATGGAGAGCAGGTGTGTGGACGGATGAGGATCAGGAATATTGGCACATAATCAGCAGTTTGAACATGTTTCACATCAAGGTGAGGGGAAGTATTTCACAGACACGGCTTAAAGAGAGCGTTATCAGCCATTGCCAGGCAGAAGGGACTCACTCTCTATCTCCTTGCATGTCTTCCTTTTCTCTCTCTCTCTCTCTCTCTCTCTCTCTCTCTCTCTCTCTCTCTCTCTCTCTCTCTCTCTCTCTCTCTCTCTCTCTCTCTCTCTCTCTCTCTCTCACACACACACACACACACCATGTTATCTGCTGGAGCTGAATTTAAACGGGTGTCACATCGAGTCGTTAAAGGCTAATTGAAACTCAGCGAACTGTCGCCTCCTGATTAGCCGTTTGTTTACATTACCTGCACCACATGTCAACTGATCAGAGATATAACATTATCTGCTTAAAGTACAACTTATACATGTATATAATATGTACTGTACATGTATGTTTATTATTTAACTGATAAATTCATCAGCTTTTAAAAGAAGATGCATTAGATTAGACAGAAAACGTCCTGTGATGTTATTCAGTCCAAGATAATTAATTACACGGTTAACCGACGGACGTCTAAATGATTCAACGAGCTAATTAGACTTTGTCTTGGAAATTAGGCTCATCATTTATGTGATGGTTAATGAGATCACAGTTAATTATTCAGCTGTCAACTGCTGTATAAACTAATATGTGAAGACCATGGAGAGTCAACTGAAAGAGGATCAAAACAGTAACGGCCCGTCCACACTACAGCTTCGACAGCTTCAAAAACGGTTTCCAACGCGTCTGCCCATTCACTTTAAATGGGGTGACGTCACTTTTCGCCGAACTGCATTGTGGGAAGCAGAGCGGAGCTTTCCTGGCGTTTCAGGCTGCAAAAGTTGAGCAATGTTCAACTTTTGAAGCTTCTGAAGCTTTCGGTGGAAGCGTCAGCCAATCAAATCATATGCCAGTACAAGCTCTAGCCAATCAAACCGCTGCTTGTGTGTCAGGGGCGGGAGATTCATGTGATTGGTTGTTGGTCGAGCTTCAGACACGCCCAGCTCCAAACTTTTTTTTAAGCTGTAGTGTGGACGGGCCGTAAGAGTCTGAGATGAAGAAAACAGCTGAAATATTGGATAAAACTGTTACAAAATATTTAACAACCCTAACCCTAAAACCATTGAAATCCCTGTCAATCTCTTATACATTTTCAACTTTATGAAAGCAGCTTAAAACGTAGCTGTTTAATTGAGTTTACCAAGATTTATGCGTATCTTTTTCTTCTTTTCTCTAAAAAAGTGTTGGAATTAATATTGTTTAATTGTGCTGTATTTTATATCTTCGGACAGTGAAGCACTCTGTGATGTTTCAGGGTATATGCAGGAATCCTGAAGTCAGATGTAAGACCTTTTAAGACCTTTTGTAAGACCCTTTCCATACATTTTAAGACCTCATCGCCACTTTGAGTTCTAACCGGTTACCTTGGCGACACACTTTACCTCACATTGACTATATACAGTATTGATTGTCCTTCCTCCTTATCTTCCAACCATTTGACGCAGACTTGCATTTCCCCATAACGATGTTGTTTAGCAACCGGCGTAAACAGACCTCCGCGCTATCAAGCAGTGAGCGTGCGATGTCCTGTTCAGATGACGTCAAACCCAACGGGATGCCATCAATAAACTACACAGAATCACACTACACACCTACGCCATGATTACATTCAGGCACACTGTAGAATACAACCTCTTTGGACCATTTATATACTTATTGAAAACAAGCTACAACATTTAATATCTTGGAAAATGCCGTTTAATACTTTTTAATAGCCTTCATTTTCGCTAAATTGATTTATCAACTTTTAATACTTTTTAAGACCCCGCGGACACCCTTTGTTTGCAAGGTGCGTTATATTCAAAGATACCTACATACAAATCTTAAATCATTCATTTAATTTAATCCATTGGTCTTTTATTTGATTTTGATTCATTTTGATAAAGAAACTGTGAAAAGGGAGAGCACTGTCCTGTATTTTGTTCACGGGTTTAGGCTAAGAATGGTTTAAGTTCAATTTAAGGTCATAAAAGATCAAAAGAAACGTAGAAACCGTGTTTGTTAATATATGCCGCCTTGACATTGTCACACAGCTGGAATTCCCTTTGAGCTAAATAAACACTCAGCCACTCTAATTATTTACCAGGAGAACATTTGCTCCTCACTTGATGTTGGCTAAAGCCCCGCTCTTATCTCCTGTGTAAACAGCGTGAAGCGTGAAGAGTAAATCTCAGATTCATTTCAATTTCCTCGTGCCCCGCTGAGGAGCCGTCGCTGCAGGCAGGATGAAGGGCTCGGAAATATGTTCCACATGCATCTGAAATTAATTTGAGGGTGCAAATACGGAAACATGTTAATGCAGACCCAGACTTCAGATACCAGACACACTGCGTTCACGACACACAGCTTCTCCGTCACACACAGATCCACGATTCAGCTCAGAGTGGATGAGCAGGGAGGATCGATTACTGTTTTTATTTAAAGGTACCTATTATGCAAAACCCACTTCTTCATGTCTCTTCTACATCAACATGTGTCCCCTCTTCTTCACGTCTCTTCTACATCAACATGTGTCCCCTCTTCTTCATGTCTCTTCTACATCAGCATGTGTCCCCTCTTCTTCATGTCTCTTCTACATCAACATGTGTCCCCTCTTCTCCATGTCTCTTCTACATCAACATGTGTCCCCTCTTCTTCATGTCTCTTCTACATCAACATGTGTCCCCTCTTCTTCATGTCTCTTCTACATCAACATGTGTCCCCTCTTCTTCATGTCTCTTCTACATCAGCATGTGTCCCCTCTTCTTCATGTCTCTTCTACATCAACATGTGTCCCCTCTTCTTCATGTCTCTTCTACATCAACATGTGTCCCCTCTTCATCATGTCTCTTCTACATCAACATGTGTCCCCTCTTCTTCATGTCTCTTCTACATCAACATGTGTCCCCTCTTCATCATGTCTCTTCTACATCAACATGTGTCCCCTCTGTGGAAAGAGACTCTGAAAGTTTCAGGAACAAAGATTCTCTCTCTTTTTGATCCATTTCTATAAAAACCTGTCTGAAAATGAGCTGATCAGATTTTGGCCACTTTATGATGTCATAATGATGTGTTGGCTTGTGTAACCATCAGCCAATCACCAACCAAGGTAATTGTCTTATACATGTGATATATTAAAAATGTTATGTTTAAGAAAATGTATAAAGAAAGCGTAATTAGACAGTATGAAGTTGACTTTTGATTGTGTTCTGGTTTTATGTTTCAGTATTTGTAAGCAACTGTGACTGAAAGAATATTGCTTTTATTTTACTTTTTTATGGTTATTAAGATTAAATAAGATGTTCTTCTCCCTGCTCCTTTCCACCATGTGCTATACAAATAACACAGTATAAGTGTACATGTTTTGTTTTAAAATAACTGCCATGTGTGGAATAAATATATAGTAGGACAATGTTTATACAAATATTGTATTAAACGGTCAGTAAATATCCAGATCAACTGATGTTTTTAAAGCCGGCTCCTTCCACTGAAACCGTATAGAAAAATAACTGTCTCTGAACTGCAGTTACATACAATAGCTTGGAGAATAAATACAAGCTGCATTCAGTCCCATAAGTTATTTCTGGAAAAGGTGTATAGTGTTTTTTCTGAACTGGGGGTGTAGTGTTGAAAACAGCAAGGATTGTGTGAAGATTCCTGG